TTTTGCATCTCTTCTTTGGCTAAACCAGCTGAAGCTGGTTTTCTAATTCATCATTTGAACTTATAACATAGAGTACATGACATCATCTGCTCTTCCTTTAAGTAAAAAACATAAAGCTTTGTTCACTGCTGTCTTCATATAAGTCTGGTTTTGAGTAACCCTCTAAACCCATTTATAATAAATATGTTAAATGATCATTTACAAGAGAATATTTTATCAAACATCGACATAATGTTTTGATTATTATTACTCAAATACACACAGGAAATTAATTTAGGCCCGTGTTTTCAGGTGCATTAAAATGATTGCACTATAAAAGAAAATCACTCATTTCCAATTTACAAAAAAAAAAATTCATCCCACTCTTCAGACATAAATTTGTTAAAACTACAGGATTTAACGCATTTTAAAATGCTAAGTTAGTGTTTTGAACATGCTGCTTTCATAATGATTCTATTGTTTGCTTTATATTTTATTAGTCCTAGAACAGAATAATGGTAAATAGAACTTCTATCTGAGTATGTTCTGGAATTGAATTAAATAAATGATGAACAAAAGGAATGAACAACAGCTCTGATAATTATTAGGATCAGCTAAATCCTGGAGTCACTGGGTACATTCAATATGGTTCATATCAGTCATTAACTTCAGCAACCAAGCAGAGTCTGTGCTAAAGCTCTAAATGCTTACAGAACAACTCTCTTTGTTCTTTAATGCTTTTCTCACCATGAGCCTGCTAAAAAGAATGAGGAACATACTTATGGCAGCCCCTCTCTGCATTCTGATATATTGAATGAGAAAGAGCAGCACACCTGGAAGAAATTGAAGCCAACATTTTTGGGGAAATGAAATGGTGAGCATTTTGTCTTATACATTTAAAACACAGTCCACTTAAAGCAGGCTATAACCTTCCAAGTATGTGTGTGTGTGTCCCTTTCAGGGTTTTTTTTTTGTTTGTTTTTTATTCACAATATATAGTGGCTAGCTGTATATAAAAATCCACATTTTTGAGCTGTGAGGCCAGGTATATACCTATAGGTATATAGGTTCAATTATAATTATTTCTCCATACTATTTATTTTTACAGTGATCAGCTCTAAAAATACATACATACATGTAGTTATTTAGGATTTCCCATTATGCTAGTGATGACTAAATCTGTCAGAAACCAAAAGAGCCAAAACTTATTCAACATAACCCACACTTTAGGCAGCATAACTGAATGAGAAAAATTTAATTCCTTTTTTTTTTTTTTTTTTGTTTAAAAATACCTAAAGATGAAAAAAGTAATGGGTGAAGATGGAAAGAGTAAACTGGCATTTTCAAGATTGTTGCAAAAAATTTGTTAAACCAAGCGGGCTGGATTTAAATATTAAAAATATTACTCTATCAATTTATTATTCCTCTAGCTTGTTTGTAAGCATGCTGGAACATGTAAATCTGAAATTGTGCTCATTCCAGCAGAAGTCCTCCCTAATTCAACTAATCATTGAATATAGAATACAAAGGGCATCTGTAAGGAAGGGCTTCAGGATTAAGAACTCACTGACCAGCTCTGATTCCATCTGCAAGGTACAAGGTTTTCTTACTTTTGACAGAAAGGAAAAAGTATTTTAATACTTAAAATTAAAACAGAATGAGTAAAGTTCCAGCTGCAAGGCTGATGGGGTCTGTTTGCTTTATGATGTTCATGATGGAGAACTTTATTTTATTGCAGTGGGGATGGGTATATTCTGTCTCAGACACAGGCTGGACTTCCTTTGACCTGAAGTAAACCCTTCAAAATCGGAGTTTGCAAAAGCCTCAGCACTATAAGTCAAAAAAGAATATTATTAAACCTAATATTTAAATAAATCACTGAAGGAAAGTATTTTTGACCCAAGTTGTTCACTATGATTAAAATAACAGTATACTTTTTTTTTCTAATAGGATTCTTTTTCACAATATTAAACACACTCTTAATTATGTCAGACAGCAGGTATGCCTTAATTAAAATTCCACATATAAAATAAAACCTCTTAATCTGAAGTATAAAAGTCTACAAATGACTGCACATTGTGGGACATTTTAAAATGTGTAGTTGCATAACCACAAACCAAAAAACCCACCAATTATGCTTTTTAGGTGAGTATTTTGATTAGTTACAAACTAAAATAATCAACGTACAGTTTTTTGTTTTGCAAAACAGGGAATTTCTAGGTCCTGTCTCAGAACAATAAAGAAATTGATTCAAATTACTTAGACAATAATATTTTTTTCAGTGTGAGATACAGATCTTCAAACAAAAAAAAATAAGTTTTCACTAAGATCAAAGAAAAAACCCCAAAAACCTGAAACACAACAATGTAATAGTTGTTATTGCAAAGATGTACTGTAAACGCGGACCCAAGGTGGCATTGAGTACTTATACTTTAAGCTAACAAGGACAATTTTTTTTTCTCATTTTTTAAAAGGAAAGAAAATTATCTTTTTTCCATAGCTTAGGGGTTTTCAACTGCTATTCTTAGAAGAGATGGATTCTGTCTATTAAGTGAGGTTTGTCTTTTTCAAAATATCTGAATTCCCTTCTTATTTTTCAACTTTAATGATAAATCAGAATATGAGCCATTCCATGTTTCAATATGAGGCACACAGATATTTAAGATGCAAAGCACAGAGGTTATCATAACAAGAATATACAACACCAATATTGAAAAGAACATGTTTATAATTACATCCATAGTTAATAATCTGTAAGAGCAGCAGGTTTCCCTAAAAGAGACAGCAATTCTGACAAAATCCATTGTGTAGGAGAAAGAAAAGAATCCTTAAGTGGTGATTGCCCACAGCTGCCTGGAGAGAAGAGGTGGTAAGGAATAGGTGTAACAAAAATTAGTACTGTGGGTGAATCTATCTGCTTGTTCTGTTTATTCACATAATATTATGAAGATAATATGAAGACCCATAGTACTACTAAAGGAGTTTACTAATTTGGAGGTTGTCCTTAAATCTGCTGGGGCTTGCAGAGGTGGAGATGGAAAAGTTCTATTCCTATGAATTCATTCATTTTTAGCACATCAAAATCAGCCAAGTCTCTTTCTGTCTCTTTCTAGTTATATATTAAATACTGAACTCCTACCTACACTACAAGTGATGAATTACATTTTTTTTTCAAAACTATTCCTACAAATAGTAGCATGAGTCTGATTCAAAAGCATTTTTTCCTTCCTTTCTTCTGTCAGTATGTTGAAATACTTCTGTGCAGTGGAGCACCAATCAAAGGGACAGAAGGGATCACTTAATAATGCAGTAAATACGTACTCTTGAAATCCAGGTATCAAATATTTCAAAAGGTAATTGACATTATTCTGGTATAAATCACACACTTGAAGAATCTTACTCTGCTCTCTTTATAACAGAAACAATCAAAAAGAGTATATGGACGTTTATTATGAGGTTAATCACTCAACAGTAATTGCCTATCTGTACTGACCAAATAAACCAATGCTATACATCAACAAAGAGGATTCTGGTTATTGAGTTTAAATACATATGATTGATTACTTGAGTCTCCTAAAACAACATCAACAATTTGATTTCCAGACACTTCCAGCAGTGGAAAATTGCATTCCCAATTGATTATCATTTCTGTTAATGTGGAGGGAAAATGTGATACTGTGAAAGAGAAAACAAACTTTTCACCACTGAAGGAAACTGTTGCAATTCAACCTAATGCTTAACATAAGAGTGTTACTAGTTGTTGCTGTGCCTCAGATTTCTATATTAGATTAAAAAATGATCAAAAACAGCCCACGTTATTATTCTGGAAGACTTGTTTCTTGGCTTACTAGATATTTTGAGGGTGCAAGAACTTATACATGCAAGCCTCCTTGTCAACCATATGGATCTAGTTCACTTCTAAGTTGCCAGGAAAATCCTCATTCTGCCTTTTTTTAGGAAATATACCATGAAACTACACAGAATTACATAGTTCATGAGGTACTCCTGACTCCCATTGTAATCCTGGAATTGTGAAAGCTCATTTTTTTCCCTTACATGTATGTTCAGCTATATGCTTTACATAATTGTAAAATGGAGGTTAGAGGTCTGGTGAGAAATTGAAAACTAAATGGACAATTCTTAACGTTGTTCTGCTGCTATGGATGTTACTATTACAGCATAAATTTTGTTTTCATTGATAATGGATTTTAAATACTGATCTGGTAGTTTTAAAAGCAGGTTATGTTTAAATGCATCTTATGCAATTTCTGTTTGCTGAATTATAGAGTTTATTCATGTTACATAATTACTAAGTGGAACTTAATACTTCAAAATGTTTTCGAAGCCAAGACTAAATGGATTAAAAATATAATCAGACAAATGCAAAATAGATTAATTGGTAACCACAGCACATGACAATTGAGATCAGAAAGTTCTTGAACTATGAATTAGAGAAAGTGGGGAGAGAATAACAGAGGGGAAATTCTCCTGTCCCTCCTCATGTGCTGCTCAAGCACCTGTCACACTCTTGCAATGGTCTCACTGGGACAGAGTTACTGCTCTTGGGTTGTGGCCACAGCTGTTCTCATGTTCAAAGACAATTAGAGCTGGTACTGTGGAGTTATTGCTGCATCTATTTTATGTCTCAAGTAATTTAATCACATGGCAGAGTATGCTAGACATAGTGTTTTGGGGTTTTTTTCTGTAAGAGGTCATGCTTTCTGAATTTATTTGTTCCTTGACCAAATTTTCCACTAAAAAAAAAAAAAATAAAAAAAACCAAACAAACTGAAAACCAAAAACCTACACCACGAGCAACCCACAGGCTTTTGGAACAGAACAAAACTCAGACTTGTCAAGGTATTACAGATACCACTGCGAAGTATTCAGGACAGTTTTAATGTATCAACCATTCATACCTAGGTACACAGCAAAGCTGTGTGCAAAAAATACACAACTTGAAACATAATATTCAGTGGGGTTTTTTCTAAATATAAGAGATAGAAAAAGTCTGAAATTACCTGTAACTGTCAACTCTGTAGTTCTTCTGACAACAAAGAATCCATATTTTAGCTCACAAGTGTAATTTCCAATGTCATCCTCTCTAACTTCCCGAATGACAAGAGTGTCCTTTTTAAACACAATACTTGATCTCCATGTCTTTGTCTTGCATTCCTGTTTAAACAGAATATGAAACTTCAGGGATTGTGTTCTTACACTTGAAATGAACCACTGTGGACAATACTGCCCAAAGTCAAGGTGGCTAGGCAAGAGCCCAGGATAGCTATAAATGTATATAAAATAAATATGTAAAAACCCAGTCTATTTAGATGTTAGCTAAAATTAATTTTATCACCTGATTTGATATTTATGCCTCTGGTTAGAAAAGGGAGTTGATTCCTTTGGTGGTTTTTGTTGGTTTTTTTTTAACAGCTGCTGAGTGGCTCATATTTAATTCACTTATTTAGCTTTACACTTATGTCTGCAATCTATGACTTTTATATTACCAGCCACTCAGGCTTCAGGGGAATTTTTTTTTTCTTTGTATTTAATTTTAAAAATTATATTTAAAAACTGTAGAGAAAGAGAAGATGAGAATGAAGAGATAAAAGAGTGTTATATATCTCTTTCTAAAACCATCTTAGAATCAAAGCTCTCTGAACCAAGAAAAATTGTATTCTTAATCTGAAAAAGTATTTTATTACAGATGCAAAATCCAAGATGAGAATAAGCAAATAGTTGGCTACATTTCTCCTACCTTAGATATACTATCAATTAATTTGGAAGTTATCTTTCTGGGCCACAAAATTTTACTTTTTAGATAGCCCAGTCTTGTATAACATAATTAATTCTACTGCATTTCCCACAGGCAACACCACTTGCAAGAACCTGGCCCTTAAGTAATGATCTAGAGAGCAGTACACAGTATTGAAATAAAGTTATTGAAAAAAACAATATATTTGCAAATATAACCTTAAGTATGTAAAAAATATGTAGAAACTGAGGTTTTGGTAGTATTTGCTGAATTTTATGCTGCAAAACTAAGCTGTTTATTCAGGTAAAGCATATATTGATATCTCATACAGTTAACTAAAGGAAGCATTTGAATTTCTCAATTAGCTCATTCTTTTCTAACATTGGTCCTGTTGCTTTTTCTTGACAAAATTAAAAACAACTCAAGCTTCATAACACATTTTGATCAAGAGAATCATAAGAACATTGAATAATATATATTTGAAGGTATAAATCTCTTGTGTTCCTTACCTTATACCACAGAATTTCAGGCTCCCTAAATGGAAATAAAAAATCCTCAATTTCAGGACATGAGATTTCCTTGCTTTTGCTAAGTTCAGCTTTTTCAAAATATTTCATCTTTGAATTGTAGCAGAGTCCAGTGTCATTTTCACCCACCGTCAACGAAATGGACACTTTCATGCAGTAGGTTGAGTTTCTGTAATGCAATAAAAATAGAAAGAAAAGTCTAATAAATTGGAACTTGAGCAACACACCAAGAGCCACATATTCATCAGTGATAAGTATGCCCTAAATGGGGAGTGGTAACGTTTTACAGACATTAATTAAAAACAATCTTGTGATTTGTTAGAGAATGAGGGATGTTTCAGTCTAAGTCACTGCCAGTTTGTTGACCACACCCTTCAATGCCTATACTCCCAGGACAAAATATTCTGCATTACCTACAGACTTCATGAGCTTGTGTTCTCTCCTGAAACTAGTTACTACATCTGTTTCTGGGTGTTGGTAACTGGGGCAGCTAGAGACATTCCACTACGTGATTCAATCAGGCAAAAAGGCAAAACCGCTTGAAATGATTTTATAATTTTTTAATTTGAATTTCCAGGTGGGGAGCAAATGAGAGTATAAATGAGTTGAGTACTCCCTGGGAGCACACTGTGACGGTGTAAGACTCCTCTCCTACTGTTCTGTAAATGCATTTTACCCCTGGCCTTCTGACGGAGGGTCCTGCAGAGAGCACTGAGGAAACATTCACCTCCTTATCATCGTTCTCATCCTCTATGAGCTGATTGCTTATTTATAATGGACTTGTATCAGACATGGCGGAATCTCAAAGATCAATTTCCTAGTATCTGATTCCTTTTCCTGTTCAATAAGAGGGGATAGAAATACTTAAGAATAAAGAATAAGAAAACTTAATTCAAAGAACTCTACAGTTCAGAACTCTACAGAAAATATAGCCTTGTAAGTAACTACCAAATTAGAGAGTGGTCTTAGAAATGTAAATTTTTGAGCAGAATGACCCTTAGCTATCAATCTAATTCATGGACTTGTAGGGAAAACAAACACAAAATTATTTCCTTTTAATGAAGAAGCAAGTATAATTTGTTACCATTCGAGAATTTAGCTGTATAAAGCAAATAAAGTTGTTCAAGCTTTTTGCAAATCAAATAAAGGATCCACTGAATATGGATCACTCTTGCTGCATTTAAGCTGGTAAGGAGCCAATTACCGTTCTTACCTGTACATACAATTGAAAATCACTCACTTTTTAAAGAATACTTTTTCATTAGCGTAAATTGTGTTATTTTTCCATTATGGTGTTACTTGGAATATTTTATTTATTTGTTTGTTTATCATGTGTCTTTGAAATGTCATAAAAAGTCACTTAATTCTGTTTTTCCAAATTGGTAAAATGCTTTTTCTTTTTCTTGGAAGACTCATTCCTTGGAAACAGGTTCTGAACAATTCATCAAACTCTGAGGTTTAAGACTAAACTAGATGGAATTGTCCTGTTATTGGATGACAGGAACAGTATGTAAGAAGCCATTTGGCTATGCAACTTTCACATTTAAATATTTTCTTTAATTCTTCCCTGTGTGTTTAACCATCATGTTTTCATCATGCTACTGAATTTCATTATTTATATATTTCTAGAAGGACATGGCAGGGGAAAAAAAGGGAGGACATTTTACTTTCTTCCCAGTCTCTGAAGAAACAAGGTTAGTAAAATTTTTGCATAGGCATCCTTCAATATTCAAAGTGAATTTTTCAAAAATTATGATTAAATGTTTTGATGTACTAAAGAACTCTGTTCTGCAACAGTGACAAAGTCAATTGCCAGAGACAGAATTTTGTCTGAGGCACATCCAAGTTTCCATCGCAACAGCAGATCCTTTAGCAGATGCAGCTAAGGCTTCCTGCTCCATCAGAGAAGCATTTTGGAAATATTTCAGAATGTTTAAATTCATTGTTTAAAGTGGATCTTTCTAAACTGTCAGATACAAGGTACTGAAAAATTTTGGGTGGATTTTTGTCAGTTGAGTTCTCTAACTGAATTGTCTTTCAAAAGCCCAAAGAATTATTAAAACAACCCACAGTTCCAGATGCCCACTGGTGACACAGACTTCCTTATTTCAATTCTAAATACTAACTGCACTGTCAGTCTGACTCATCTCATGCTCTGTCAGAAACCAAGGCTGTTGGGATGAAACAAAACCCAAAGAGGTGGGTACAGAAGGCAGAGCAACATCAAGAGTATGTGATAAGAAAGCCAAGAAAATGGACTCACAGTGCAGAAAGAGAGAAAGAAAATTAAATAGTCCCTAGGTAGGAATGAAGAAGAAGAAAGTGGGGATGAGTTTGCTGATTACAGCTAGAGAATGAAGGATACAGTAGATGTCAATCCTCTGAGGCAACAGAAAGAGTAGCAGGCAGCAGAGCCCTCTGGAGCACGCACATACTGCAGAGGGTAAAAAATGCTCCTGTGTTAGAAGCAAGAAAGTTTTCCATATGTCTCTTACTAGAGGGACCAGATATGAAGTAAATAAAAGAAGTAAAAAACCCTACGACATGAGTTTAAGGGATTTTAAAAACTGGTATTTGCTATACTAACCGTGCTTTAACTCACTTATCACATGATACCTTTGGGGTGTTTCTTTTGTTTATTTGTTTTCCTTTGTTTTTTTCCTGAACATGGTAATAAGAAGAGGTGAAAAATTACTAAATTATTTTTTTCCTAATCTACCAGTTACAAATATTCACAAGTAAAAAATTAGCTAGAGCCTTTTTGTACATAAAAGTGAAGGTTTACACTTTCATCTGTTATTCAATAGATTTTCAAGTGTTAAAATAACGACATCTAAAAGTAAAAAATGCAAAAATAGGATGAAAAAAGCTGTTTGGCAGTTTTTATTTAAGACAACAAACCCATTTAATTTATCTTAAAGTTAAAGGAGCTGGTTTGTTAGAGAGAAAAGGAGAAGAGGAGACACAAGGGGGAAAATGGAAGAGAGAACACACAAAGAGCAAGAATAACTTATTTGAACTTTAGCTTTTGCAATATTCCCATCTACATTTAAAGGAGTTTCTTTGAGAATTAAGCATTTAAAACGTGGTTTCTTGATAAATACATCTCTAAAATGGGTCCAATGGATTTGCACCTACAAAATTCTGCTTTTTTTTCCTCAGAAAAAGACCTGATGTAATTCTCAGTCTCTAGCCTCACCAGATAGAGCTCAGTAAAAGATACAGCTCAGTACCATCCAGGCAGCATCCCTCATCATCCCTGTTCATGACAGAAGGGAAAGTGAGACTATTCCTGTTATTTCTCCACTCTGGTGCTTTGCCCATTATACTATTTACTAGAATAAAAACACTGGAGAGCAAACAGGAGGCCAGAAAATCTCTCTTATGTTTCTCCTCTTCATACAAAGTCAGAAAGTAACTTTATTTCCAACTAAGCTGGAAAACTAACTTAATTTCCAGTTCCTGCAGAAATGGACATTTAAAAGAAAGTCAGAAAACTCTTTCCTTTGCAGTTTTATTTTAAATTTTAATAAACAAACCTAGCCATTGATGCCCATATCCACTTTCTATCAATGGTCCATCACATTTCTGGGGAAAACTTTTGTTGACTTCATTAACTAGTTTTTTCATGATTTTGCAGAGACAATTTTGTCCTTTTTCAGTCCAAGTAATTTCTGTTACATTTATATGGATGCCTGAAAGCTGGAGAGGAAAGAATTCATTCAAGGCAGAAACAAAAACACGTTCCTAATAATCAGCTCGTGCTCTTGGCCTGTGGCCCCAAAGGCTCTTTGTGAACTTTTAAACTTTCATACAAAATTTTTTAAAGCCTCTACATAGCAGCAGGGTGTTTTGAGGACATGCCTGAGGCTTTGGGCACGTGGTGAGGGAGAAAGGCCAGGGTACTGTGGGGCAGCCAGGATAACTCTTGTCCACTGAGGTCCCCTTGCTGGCCGGATCTGATGGCCCCAGCAGGTCACTGCCCCCCCAGTGACTTCTGGAGCATTCATTCAGGAAATCAATTGACAAACTTTATATACAGGATTCTCTTTTATTGGATTTGGGTTTTGTTTGTTATTTGGGTTTTTTTGTTGATTTTTTCCCTCAAGCTCTGGAATGGCTGACTCCCACACTCGCTGGCTGTGATATCTGAAATCACAGATTGCCTTTTCCACAAAGCTTCCAGAGCCAACAAAGCTGCAAGTGCTGAGGCAGAGCTTCAGGCATGGGGAAAGGAGAAGAAAAGTGGCAGGAGATGGACAGAAGCCGACTGGAATTTTCCTCTGTGCCTTAGAAATTTTCTGCTGCTTCCATACCCTGGGGGGCCGACCCAGTTTGGAAACTGCTTTTGACCTCAATTGAATTACATAAGCACTGATTTCTTCCCTCAAGGGTCACCTAATTATGTGCATGATACTATGAAATAACCCAGTGCACACGAGCCTCCAGGACTATTTGAATATCAATACTCTGCAAGATACTTGTTTCAATAGGTTTGAATTAGACACACCAAGGTATTGTTCAGTTTTAATGCCTGCTTCCATACTTGGAAGCCAAACCTTCACATTTTATCTTTTTCTGACACAAGTGGTATGCACTGCCATCCTGAATTTCCCCTTCACTCCAAACCTGTCAAAAGAGAATGTCAAAATGCAAAGTCTAACTGCATTAGAATAATACTTTCCTTGTGTAAGAGGTAGCTAGAGACTGATATGAAAGGCCTTTTAGTGATATTCTAAACAATAAAAATTAAATAAAAATTAGCCTTTACAAAGGAAATTAAATTTTCTCATCCTTATAATATTCTAAAGCTTCTTTTTTTTGGGTAAACTAGAAAAAAGACATGTAAATTTTTATGTTATTGATTTTTCTCTATGATCTCTGTCTTTTTTAATGTCAAAGTGAAACATTTCTTTATGAGAACTGGAACCAATCTGATATTGATTTCCACAATTTAATAAAACTTCACTTTCTTACAACAAAATACTCAAAAAAAATTTTGACAATACCCTTAATTATGAGCTTGTACTGGCATTTACATGGAAGGCAAAATTACATAAAATTAACTCATTTCCCTAATTTCCCCATCAAACATTTTCTTTCAGATTAAAGCTTCCTTTCAGATACATTAAAAGAAAAAAGTCCATAATCCTACTGTACAGTTATAAA